TGCACTGATGAAAGCACAGTAAAGTTCTTAGGGAAACTGCTGCCAACATACCTCAAAATGTTTACTTGTTCTTTGCCTATTCAATTTTACCTGATTCTGACAAAATTAAGCAAAAGTTATATAGCTTTGCCTCTAGAGTCATAAACATCCTTGAAGATCATGAGGGGCATAGTTTCTGCCACTTCTATAAGCTCTGGTGGACACAGAGATTCGATGGCAATTGCTTTGCAAAATAAAGAAGTTAGACATGGCTAGAAACTTGTTTTAGAGATATATTTGTTGCGAATGAATACAATAAAGTTGTATAAAAAGATATTTTTCCTCCCACAATATTTACATTTCAAAATCTGCGTCCAATCTCTTCACTAATACACGCTCCTTTTCTGAATTGATTACTTACTTTAATTAAAAGCCTGTCAGCCTTTTAATTTATTTGTTTGTTTAGTCATTTTTAAGACCAGGTTAAGCACTTTCACTCAGCATTTGTTTTTCAGGCAGCCTCCTCAAGTACGCTAGTGCCAGACAACTTCATTGTAAGTAGGTCTGGCCCATGAAAATCCTATTCAGCAGGCTATGCCTGCTTTTATTCTAATCTAGCAGTAGCTTTTCTCACCAACACATAGAAGAGGGGTACCTTGTCCTCAGAGAGTTGGGAAGTTTCTCCTAATGACATTTTCACAGTTATTAATGCTTGAGCCTCCCATTATTATAAATCAAAACTAGCAGAATGTGTTGGCTTCCCAGGGTTGGAAAAAAAATCTTTTAGTGCTACATTTTGTATTACAGCAGTCATCTCTACTGATTTGTAATATACTTGCAATAAATAGCTTTGAGTTTTAGTTAAACCAAACCAATTCCATAAAGGCTATTAGTCAATTTTAACAGCAACATATTGCTTGTACAGTACATTAGTAAGAAAAAATATTAACATGTATTAATCTAAACATGGATGGGATACCAATGTACCAATTTTGCACTCTCTAATAAGAGATCCCAGAAAGTTGGGATGGGTGGGGAGGGAAATGAAGGAAGCACAGAAGAAACTTTCATTTAGTGATGGTCAACAAGAGCTAGTGCAGAAAAGATTACTGTAATTTCTTTAGAATGTTGGAGAATATTTATGACAGGGAGCAAAACAGTGTGTTCTTGAGCTTTCAGAAGGACCCAGTGCTCACTTCTATTACACCTCCAAACCGGTGAGCGAGGACTCTAGCCAAGCATCTGAACGTAGTCCAGGATTTCTAAGTAAGGATCCAGACAGTGCTCACCTACTATTAGATGAGAATCTCCAAAACCACTTCTCAAGATAAATTAAATATCTGAAGAGAAGCAAACATGAAAGCAATAGCATCATGCAAAGGCAAACTACCACAGATGACTTTCAAGTTTTTTCCTTCCCTCTCTCCCCGTTTATTGTTCTTCTTTTAACATAATTGACCATGAAGTACAAATTTTCAAAATGCCAACACTAAAAAAAAAACAAAACCAAACCCCAAAAAACCCCACACCACAAAAAGCAGAACCTGAAGTAGGGTTCTTATGGTTCTTTCATGGGAAGTTGGGATATGCAAGAAATTATGCACTTGATCTTGACGGCCAGCATTTCCTTACGACATGTTGGTGATTTATCCAAATTTAACTCGCAATAACATTTCCGTGAGCCAAAAATCTACATGTTGTTTCTGAGGTCCTCCTTCAGTCTAATTATTTTATCTTCTGCAAGGAACGTCAAAAAACAAAATACCAAAACATCATTTAATGAATAATGGCACATTTTCTTTTACCAAAGAACCTGACTGGCACAAAACAAGCACAAAAAATAACTGATGTGGAATTCCTATTTTACAGTCTTAGAGAATTATTTTTAAATTCAGTAATATACTTAGTCATTTTACCCTGTGGTTTCCTTTTTAATTATCCTTTCTGTTCTTGTAAAATGTTGTAAGCATAATCTGGCTAATCTTATTACGCGATGAACATGATTTTACTTGTTGATAAGACTTTCTAATAAACTAACACACATCTGTTAATACAAAATCTTTTTTGTTAGAAAAGAATTAAAGCAGCCCTCCATATTGCTAGAAATAGAGAATTGTCACCAAACTAAAAACAGTAAGTAAATATTAACTTTGTGAAGTGCAAAACAAGTTTTGTTGACCAGTGAGGTAAATATTGACTGAAGTGAAGCAAATATTTATGCACTGACGTTAATGGGACAAATCCCATTCAACACGACAAACAAGATTTTGCCTACTATATTTCTGTGTTTGTATTTATTCTGAAAGTTCTGAAGGGAAATATCTGGAAAACTGTCTACAATGGTAATGGTTTTTAAAAACAATTGCTTTTCCTTAGCAACTAAAATGGATACGCAGTCAGAAGGCCAGAATATTTTTGAGGTTGTACAAGACAGAGGTTTAACAAATTGTTTTCAGAACGAATGTGTTAACTCACTAAAATCTGATCAGATAACAACAGCCAAGACCTCTGTTTAACTGAGCTTTAAAAAGGTAAACAGAAGGTTGGTCAATTTTCAGCCACTCATAAACCAAAATTTTTTTTACACAAGTAGTGGTAACTAATGCCAGATGATTCTTTCTCTCACCATTTGTTCAGGTTAGAGTCAGTCAAATTAAACTTTTCATGGCAGTCAACCTTAATAATTACAAAGAACCCAAAAAGTAGACTTTTTTTTCCTTCTGTGAGTTAAAGTCTGCCACCCTATCAGAACACAGACAGAGCCGTTACATGAGTCCTACAGGAAGCAATACCTCGGCCTGAGGTACCAACAGAACCAGCTTCAGTAAAAGTGTTTGCTCCTACTGCCAATGTGCCACAGAAGCCCTCCCACCAATAAAACCCCTTCCCACTATAAAACACAGACTAACCTAAACTAATATATAACAGTATAACTTTTAAAATTTCCATTTTATGATTTATGTTAGAACATTCATTTGGGTTTTGAACCTAGAACATATTGCTATTTACCAAGGAAAATAAAGAATAATTAAGGATATAACTATAAGCAGGTACTACAGATGGAATATAAATTAACAAACGTATCTAGCCCTTCCTAGTAAATCCACTCAGGGTAGGTTTTTACATCCATGAGAAGTCATTATTCAACAGAACAATTCACACAAGGATTCACACATTCAGATGAACACATTAAATTGTGAAAAAAATAATTTTGAGAAACTTCAAAGGTTCTATTGAAAATTCTGGCACCTTTAAGTACACCCATTAGAGAATACCAAGGTCTTACACAGTGGATGATCATTACAGTACATCTTCTGACCTAAATACCTTTGTAATGGTCTTGCAACAGCAATTAACACACCTTCTAAAATCCTTTAGCAGCTGATTGTTTTTTGAGTAATTGTATTTAACAGATCCTCCAATGTCACTACAAGAAAAGACCAGTTCAGAAAACAGCTTCTCCACTTCATACTAATGACCAAGGGAATCTTTCTCGCAGATAAAGACAGAGGCTGAGCACCCTCCTGTGCAGTGAGCAAAAATTACAACTGCCCTTTGTGGCTACGCTATCTAATTTTCATTCAAGGCTCTATCTATATACAAACCCCAAGACTCCTGGATCTAATTCACCAGGTTTAAAACAATTATATGACACCATTTCAGTGGAACTACTCTCAGTTTATAATAACTTAACAGAAACGAGCACACTGCTGTACACAGGGAGCTAGTAAGAATTCTGGAAACCTCAGGGAACAAGATGATGTCATTGCATTATAAAAATATCTGGTTCAAATTCTTTGCGTGTCTGCTTGACAAAGTTTACATGATCAGACTTCAACAGTGAAATTCAGGCTCCTCTGCCATCATTCCAGTGATGAGTTTTCAAAACTGGTATCCATTCTTCCCTGCCTTAAATATGGGAGCACAGGAGCCGTTTTCTTGTGCTCGAAATTCAAATGGAAGTAAAGGTCATATAATTGTGGGAGCTAGTTTTAAAAAGATCGAGCATTCAAAACTCAGGACACATTCAAATTTTAAAGGTCATTTGAGCCTCTTGGTAAGACATTAAAATCCTTCAAACAATTTAAACAAAACCCTCTTAATTTTGCAAAAGCCTTCTATACTCAAGTAACATTTTGTGTAGTATGAAGACAACCAGTAAAGCTTTTGAATATTCAGGACATTCTGCTATTTTACAGACTCTTGCAAGGAAACAATTTTTTATCATATCATTAACTACAATTCCTTTTCCACATATCTGAGATCAGTTCCTTTAAATTTCACCAAAGATGTGTGCTGTACATCTAATTTTAAACGACTATTTTCTTCCACACCTTCCGATGAAAAATAGCGATACTACAGTTTATTAGGAGGAACAAAAGATTAAGATTGTAATCCCTTAATCTGCTCTACGCAGGAGGACTTCTGCAGAGCTCCTTCAGGAATTAGGACTGGTATATAAAATATTTTCTTCTAATATTTCTATGTATAGAACTAGCACTCAGTAACTTTTAGTACAGAGTAGCTGTTGAAAGGGTCAAGTATTGTGCTGCCAGGGCATCAACAGCAGCGTTCCACGAGGCTCAGTGCTTATTCCAATATTGTCTCATGCATTTAACAACCACAGGAAAAGCAGGTATACACTGATTAAATCTGCTGATAGCATCAATTAAGGAGGTACCACCTATACCTAGGAGGATGAGAAAGTCTGGGACACTTATATACACCCGAAAACATACCTGGACACCGATGCAGCTATCTGTATGAAATTTATGGGCATCCTAAGGAGGACAGTCCAAAATACAGATTGGTAAAGTTATTATTAGGTATTACGTGACCTAATGTGCACAACACCCATGGGAAAAGACTTCCAATTTTATGTTAATAATCTCTGAAATCTTTCTTGTGTCAGGAGTTACTAAATCCAGAGGTCATGAACAGCACTGTGAAAACATACCTGTTAAATAACACCATCAGGGAAGCGTTACATACCTTCTAATGAGCTGCGAATTGTTGATAAATCAGCAAGTGACCTGCATGAGCAGACATTATTGATTAATAAGCTGCCATGAATTAATTTCTATTTCCAATGCATGTAACAATGAGAAACAGTTTGAGAACAACTTTGATTTAAAACTACATTTGTACTTTAATGCATTTTATAATTACAAAAAAGAAACAGCTGAACGAGGCTTTTATATTTATACACTTCCAAGCAATGTACAGAAGGCATGCATAATTTCCAACCATAAAATACTATTTAAAAATAAAAGATTTATAATTGCTTTTCCTGATTTGAGAATCAAATTAAGTTTTTCCACATTGTCCTCCAGAATCCAAATACTATGCGAATGACTAACTGAGCAAAGAGTAAAAGAATGAACAATATGGCATAGCATAAGTCAAAACACAACAGTTTTGTGTTATCCTTGGAAGGATGGGGATATAGCCACATAATTCTTAAAAGTGCTTCCAGCCAAGCATCTGAAATCTGCATTGGTGCCACTATGAAGCAGTATTGCAATAATTAGGCAGAAGTACTATACAAATTAGAAGGTCATCTTAGTTCGGAGGGCGTACAGGAACAGGAGGCTTGTGGGTTTGTCTAATACTTCAGCGCATCTGCAGTAATTAGCCCAGGTTTCTTCCAAAACATCAGCCATAGCCCGAGTGCAATGCAGAGGCTATGAGGCCTGAAATTTCCAGTCAAGAAATTCCAGATACAGATTCCAAACCCATCGTGAAAGTAGACCAAATTGCTGCAATGCCTCCTTAAAACCTACCTCCAACAGAAAGAGAGGTATCCACTGTTTTCAGCTTCTTCCTCAAGTATAAAAGAGAAGGTTTCTGATTAGATGGTATGTGTTACTAAACACATTTGCTCTTCCAAACACTCAGTTTTTCACCTCATGAGATCTTATGTCTAGGTGCCCGTCCTGCCCCTCTTCCAGAGTTACTGACCCCACAGCATTTCTGTATTTAAAATTTTGAATTAAACCAGAAGAACTGATTTTCAAAACTGCTCCGATATTAGGCACCGGTTTCAGTGTGAGCTGCATACCTAAACGCTTTTAGAAAAGTATCTGAGCCAAGGAAAAACAGATGCCATTTCTGGATGCAAACTAATTTATTCAAGAGCATATTTTGATAGCAAACCCTGTATCTATTTAATTTCAAGCTTCTCCTAAGCACTACAGCAGCATTAACTAGGGCAGCATTTTCCTCAGGTTTCCTAGGAGGCAAAGCCAATTTCCAGACAGCAGGACTTCCCTGCGGTGAGCACTAAGCGCCACCAAGAAGTAAGGATACCGCAGTACATATATATATATCTATTTATGTGTATTTCTTAATTTCCTTCATTATTATTGTCTTCCCAGGTTAATTTTAATTGAGGTTTTAAATACAAAGCAACAGGAACCACTGCCCGCCCCGTTTGGCGGGCCCGGACGGCGGCCTGGCCCTGAGGCCGAGGCGAGCCCCCCTCAC